AGAGAGAGAGAGTGTGTGTTGGTGGATTATGAATCAATTCTTGGTTGGGTCATTATGTTGCGTAAGAACAGAAAGCGTGTTGTTGGTTTATAAAGGACGAGGGTTACTTTGATACACTCCTAGTTATCGTTAAAAAGTAGAAAAAGCAGGTGAGGTTTCATGAACTGTTGTATTTATCATAATTTATATATGTGGTTTTAAAACAAGAAACATTACTGGTTATGCTAACTATTGATAAAAAAAAAGAAGTTTACGACCGCTTGTCCACCAAAGGAGAAACGACCCGATTTTTTTGTCGGTAGGGGGCAGTTCGATCTGTTTGTTCCTGGCGAGCGGGAACAGGTTAAAGGTTAAAGAACGCAAGGTGGGAACATCAAACCATGAATAATTCAAAAGAGAAAAATTGTAAAATTTTTAATATGCAGTGGTTTACGAGTTGACTTTGCCAATTGGTCGCTTTTAAGGACAAGCGGGCTAACCCAGATTTCGGGGTTTTCCAAAAATCTTGATCTACACCAAAAGTGGGCATTGCCCTACCTATAGGAGAAGGTTGGTTTCTTTGGTGTGTATATTTGTTTGGTTATAGAGAAAACACTCCTTGTCTTTTATAGAAACTGAACAAGGGGCAAAAATGTTACCTTCTTTTTTCTCAAAAAGGCACACATGTATTTCGGGATAGCCCTTTGTGCTTAAAAGCGACCAATTTTGAGTCACTGAACACCAATATGACATGAGGTTTTTCACCAGAGAATAAACTTATAAACATGTTTAGCTCTGCTTGGACTATGGCTGATGAGTCATCACACGAACCGAAAAAAATGCTGCATGTGGCATTCCAACCAATCCGTCTTTTGTTGGGAGAAGTCGTACCATTTCGATGGACATATCCAAAACGAAATTCTCACCAATTGCTAAGATAAAACTGGTTGGTGCTCTATTTCAACTACCGACACTTCCCGAAAGACAGACAACTTTTGGACGGGCGGCTTCTGATCTTGTGGACACGCAGTGTAAGTGCAATGTAAATTTACTCATTCCTTGCTCGCATCACTCGACAGCACGGACGTTATCTTGAGCGTGGCTAACGCCACAGGCCAGGAGGTGAGAGCCAAACACAACGACTTTGTGAAGCGAGGAATCTTTGCCACCCACACCGGGGCCAGCTGCTTCAGTCCGGTGATCAACATCATGAGAGACCCACGGTGGGGCCGGAACCAGGTCAGTCACTCTTTTCTTTCGATTTCTTCCTTTTTTCTGCTAGACTGTGCCAGAACTGGTAGATCACACTTTCTAAAACTTAATATAAACGTACGAACCAAAATTAGGGGCATAACATAAAACAGAGGGAGTAGTGATTTCAAACTCAAAAGTGATGTCAAGCAATTGTGGGAGACACGGGGTTTAGGTGGATAGTCACTGGGGTGTGTCCTTGAGCAAGACACAACCCTAGATGAAAAAAACCCCCACCTAGGGCACCGCACAGTGGCGACCAGCAATGGCATGCTTGTGAAATTGTTCTGTATAGATGTGGTGTGTATGTATTTACTGTATTTATATATTAATGATTATGTATTTATGTATGTACGTAGGTTTGCCTTTGTATCTCAAATTGCCATACGGGTATCAATAAAAATGTTTTAAAAAAGCAAACTGAAATTTATAGGTTCATCACAAAAGCATTAAACCTCACACATTGGAAAGGAGTTCGACACTTTCTCATAGTGAATCATGGTTAGTTAGATTGTCGTAACTGAGATATACACAGAGAACCCGTTTTTTACAGTATTATATTTCAGTATTATATTAGCACCATTGTCTTTTTTTTTCATTTTCCTTTTACTCTTGTTTGTTTGAGTAACAAATTCAGGTACTGGCATTTGAAATAAATGACCTCTTTAGTGTTAAACTCATAGTAACAAAGAATGGCGTTATTATGTTCTGTTTTTATCACACTAGAGTATGGTGCAGGCATCCCGTTTTGAACCCCTAAATGTAGTGTTCTTTAGTTGTTTAAAACGATTCTATAGTTTTGTACATTTATTTTTCTTAGAAAAAAAAGGAATTGGACGTGGAAGCTGGGGGGGGGGGGGGGGGGGGCACTTGTTAAACGACCCTGCTGTCTTGGGAGAACCCTATAAGTCATGTGACCAAGTAATCAAAATGGTTGGGTTTTTAAAAAATGTATAACTTTCTGTGTCTTTATGATTCCCGCAGGAGACATACGGCGAAGACCCTTATTTGACTGGAGTTTTGGTACAATATTTTGTCAAGGGTCTCCAAGGTATGGTTAATGTTGCAACAATAATCGTAAGATTTATATGTTTGTTAATTTATTCAGGAGAAGGTTTCGGCTAATTTGTTTTAACAATGGACTGCGGTATGAGTTACCTAGATTCGAATCTAATTCTGAAGCTAGGTTGCTGTTAGGGTTGTGACAATTCCCTGCGTTTATTTCTCATAGTTATCTTTGAAGTGTTTCCCCTTTAAGTTTAAGAATTTCGAATCAAGATGGGGACTAGAGGTGCGAATATTAAAGGCCCCTTTACACATGCAGTTCGTGGATCAACAAACTGTAGGATATCGAAAGAATGGCGTGGATCCTGTCAACTTCCCGGTAAAATTGAGCGTGGCAACGAGCAATTCTCTCGACATCGAAGGGTTCTTCGTCCAGCCACCAGATAACTCTTCGCCAGATATTTTCCAGCTAGGCGAGAAGGGAGCAGCTTCTTTGAGTCTTATAGGTGAGTGTTAGGATGATTATGGTGCTGATCATTTTGAGTTTTGTAGTCATCGTGTGATCTTTCTCCCCCCCCCCCCCCCGAACAGGTCCTGGGACAAAGTACATCATGACAAGTGCTGGCTGCAAACATTTTGATGCATACGCCGGCCCTGAGGATATTCCCGTCACGAGATTTGTGTTTGATGCTCAGGTATAATGATAATAAAGAAGTAAAATGATAGAGCAGCCGAACTTTCTTTAACGGTCACTCGTACAAGACGGTACTAACGGCAGCTTCCCATTTCTTCCTTGGGGTATCTTTTATATTATATCAATACTGTGTAAGATATCCACCTGTCCAAGACGGCCACTTTTCTCCTCGACAATTCGCTGTCTTAGAATTTATTACAAAGTTCTATCTGATATTGTTGGCTGTTTTGAGCTACTTAGCCCATGAGGTCAGAGACCAAATTAGTGTTCTATCTGCTTTGACAAAGTCTAAAGATTATTCGGCGTCGTTATCAAGATATTCAAAGAATTACATTCGGAAAACCTTGACATGTTTTGAAACTCAAACTTATTGGGGCAGAATTTCTCAAAACTAGGTACTGAGCAGATAGAACTTTGTAATTCTGGGGTAGCGAATAGTTGACATTTTCGACGGCAAATATTATGACTTTTCGTTTCATATTTTGATGACAGGTTTCAATTAATTTGCTTGGTTACAGACTGGTGCCATCTCAACGATAATGTTTGGGAACTTAAAAAAAGCGACAGGAATAATCTAATCAGCCACACGAATGACTTTTATGTCACAGTTTCCGTTCTTATTGTGTCTGTTATTCGGTTGAATTTCAGGTGTCAGACACAGACTGGAGAATGACGTTTTTGCCTGCCTTCAAGAAATGTGTGGAGGCTGGTACCTACAGCATCATGTGCAGCTACAACAGGCAAGCTTTCCCCTGACTTAGTACAATAAATTGATACGTTAATTGATTTTTTTTCTGTAAACAGTATGCCATTTTGTAAATAACTGGAAACAAGTTGGCTCATTTTCAATGTGTGCAAGGCGAAGTGCCCTAACCACCACAACAGAGACGCTAGTGTAAGCTTCATAAAGATGGACTATAGATCACTAAAAGTACCAGAACTCATTTGCTATCGAGACAACAAACTAGTCATGGCGTGAAACTCAATTTAAAAAAAAAATTCAAATTTCTCAAAACGAGGTACTGAGCAGAAAGAACTTTGTAATTCTAAGGTAGCATTTGTGAGGCGTGCTGACAAAATGAGTTATTTCTTGCACTCAAAGAATTGAGATATTGGCCGAAAATCAACACTAGAGTCAAATTTATACAATTTCAGTTGATCCTCTTTTGTTCGAGTCTACCGTGTCTTTTATTATTACGGACTTACAAATTGTACAAACTCCACCTATGAAGTTGATGTATCAATTTCCATACGGCTAAAATCCGAGAAGTAACTCATTTTGTCAGCACACCTCACATTTAATACATAATTATGTTTGGACTCGTGCTCCATCGGAATTTGTGACTACCTTTTCCTCAAAGCTTTCATGGTTTATAACGTTTTTATCCCCTGCCCTAGCGTAAACGGTGTCCCTGCCTGTGCGAACAAACAGCTGCTGACTGACATTCTACGTACCGAGTGGAACTTCAAGGGCTATGTGGTCAGCGACCAAGGAGCCGTAGAAAGCGTCATCTGGGCTCACAAGTATCGCAACAACAGCATAGACACAGTGGCAGCTTGCGTGAACGCGGGAACTAACCTGGAGCTCTCCAGCAATCTACCTGTGCCAATCTACATGTCGATGTGTATGTAGAGTTGTTGTCGTTGCTGTTGTTGTTGTTGTTGTTATTGTTGTTGTTGTTGTTGTTGTTGTTGTTGTTGTTGTT